TCCACTCTCAGGCTCCTGGCTCCCTTGTTCTCACCATTCTTGGGTGGAGACATGCATCTCTCTCCCTCCTGACTGGGGTGTATCCAGGCTGCACAGGTTCCCTACCTACACTGTGAATTCCCCAGCAGAATACACTACCTCAGCAGTGCTTTACCTTCTCCAAATCCTCAGAGGCTATAAATAGCAGAATTGTCTACCAGTATAAGTTACCAGACAGCTCTTTCTAAGCAAGTACATTTATCCTTAAGGTAAAAGCATTAGAGAAAAAAATGTTTAAAAAATAAAAACCTACACACAAGCTAATAAGGTTGCCAAAGATCACCCGAACTTCAAGAGGAGCTCTGGCCAGTGAACGGTCCTTCAAACCCCACTAAGGGTTTTTTTTTTTTTCCTGTTCATAACTGCCTTGGTTCAGAACAACCACCTCCAGGAATCTCAGAATCGCTCTTTTATCCAGTCTGGGCCTCTGATCTTGTCCTCACATAACAGTGATCAGTAGACAATGGGTTTCTGCTCATGGCCCAGCTTCAAAAGGTTGGGTCAATAAGTGAAAAGTTGCCTTTCCCTCCTCCCAAGTATTTCCTAGGAATCCCAATGAGCTTTGTTTTGCAGCACATTGTTTCTAAGAGACATTTGAAACTCGTAACAACTTCCCAGGGTTCACATTAGCCATGTCTCCTCCCTAGAGACATTACATACAATCCCACAATAATACATACATATTTGCATTTTTAAAATAATGAACTCCGAAGGTACTGAAATTTAAATTAAAAAGGTTTAACTTAATTCAATAAGATTTGTAGAGGATATTGCCATATCTGTCACAGATTCATTGACTCTTCCTGTACTGATTATTGCACGATAGGTTAGCATATACATATGTTCTTTTAATTACAGACTCATGCAAAGGTCTGGCATTCTTATAATAAGACATGGCGTAGCAAGCAACAAGGTAATAAGCATTCATTGTGTAATTATGCCTCTGCAGTAAGACTTAAAAGATTATGCATAACTGCAGAACTGTCACTTTCTATTTTAAGGTATGGTTGGAATTTCTTTAACTAGTGCCTGGGGTGAACCTGTTGATCTAACTAGCCAGAAGGACATTGAAGCTGCCGAAAGATACGTACAATTTTACTTGGGATGGTTTGCAAATCCTATTTACAGTGGAGACTATCCTGAAGTTATGAAGAATTATGTAGGTAAGTCATGCTATTTACACCTTGAATAAATAATATAGTTACAACATTTTATGATGGGAAAGTGACATAATCTGATCAATGTGTATTTTAGTCAAAATTAAGGATAGGGTTTTGGAGGAGGATTGTTAATAAAAATATTTTTTCTGAAAGATTCCAGATAAAGACAAAAATATTTGTCTTTATTAAAAACAAACAGTAGCATGCTCCTCTAAAAAGTATAATTATCCACATTTTTACCGATGGAGAAACAGAAGAAAGAAGTTAAGTTATGAGCCCAAGGACAAATGGCAAGTTAGGGGCAAACACCTGACTCCCAGTGATGTGCTTTAAGATTGGGATTTTCAAAGGAGACTATGGGAGTTGCACACCTAAATTCCTGTTGCACCTCTGAAAATCCCAATCTAGACCACATTTCTTCTGTTTTAGCCACATCAAGTAAAGTTTATCCTTTACTATCCTTTCTTTAAAGGTAGAAAGAGGAAGATGGTTGTGTTCAGAGAGAAAGTGCTCATTCAAAGCTACACAATATTAGCACTTAAAATTTAGGATAGTTTAGTTTTGCTTTTGTGGTGTAAAGAAAAGCAGAAAGATTCAATCATGTGCAGAAGATGCATTTACCATCTTTTTTTGAAAAATTTTGATTTAATAGATAAAAAGAGTGTTCAACAAGGCCTTGGCACATCAAGATTACCAACCTTCTCAGTGCAAGAGAAAAGCTACATCAAGGGTACATCTGATTTCCTGGGATTAAGTCATTTTACCACTCGTTACATCATACAGAAAAATTATTCTGCCCTCAAAGGGCCCAGTTACCACACTGATCATGATTTGGCAGAACTGGTTGATCCAAAGTGGCCAGATCCAGGATCTAAATGGCTATATTCTGTGCCCTGGGGATTTAGAAGGTTACTGAACTTCATTAAGGTAAATTTTAAACTAAGTCTTCTTTAAAAGAAGTTTAACTAACAATCTTGTTTAATACAGGGTATGAATCTGTATCTCAGTGTCAGGAATAAATATCCAACACATCCACCAGTGTTCTTATTTGCATATTGAAGTCTTGTTTATTGCCACATACCTAGCACAATGGGGCCTCAATCTCCGTTGGGGCCTCTTTGCACTATATTCATAGAAATAGTTTATAATAAACTTCAGCTAACCCAAAGAAAAAATTTAAATTTTTAACTATGCTTTTCTTTTAAACGTAACTATAGTTAAAAAAAATTAAAAATAAAATAAAAAAAAATCTAGTAAATAGATTGAAACCAGTTTTCTAGAAATTTAGTTTTGTTAAAAAATTAATTGTAGTTGTATGAAGCATAACATTATTTCATTATTCCAATGAATGTTTTTCTTTGTAGACACAGTATGGGAATCCTCTCATTTACGTAACAGAGAATGGAGTATCAGAAAAGCTGCAGTGTACTCAGTTGTGTGATGAATGGAGAATTGAATATCTGAAAGGGTATATTAATGAGATGCTAAAAGGTGAACTTTAAAAAATGGACAAAGTCACAATAAAATGTGTTCCAAAATTTGGTTTTAAGCATTTTGATATTCTAACTCTTTGAACCCAGTATAGGTCAGAATTTCGACATTGGAATAATTTATCAATTTCCATATTTACAAAATAAAAACTGCACCTAATAATATACTGTAATTACTCCTATGAAATCTTCCAGTGCATCTAGACTAAGGATAACAGTTTCAAAGGTGCCTAAGTGACTTAGGAGCCTAAGTCTCATTGACTTTCAATAAGAGTCAGGCACCTAAGTGACTTACATGCTTTTGAAAATTTTAACCCAAATTTTTCCTTCATTTTTGGTATAAAATAGGGCTTGCTTAGCACTATGTTTCTAGTGAAGACACAAACTTCATCTGGTTGTTAACAAATCTGAAATCTATTTTCAGCCATAAACGATGGCGTTAATGTAAAGGGTTACACTGTCTGGTCTCTGCTGGATAAATTTGAATGGAATAAAGGTTATTCTGAAAGATTTGGATTATACCATGTTGACTTTAAAAAGGGGAATAAACCCCGATACCCAAAGGCATCTGTTCACTATTACAAGATGATCATCAGTGCAAATGGATTCCCAAATCCAAGAGAGGTGAGTTCAATTATTAAACCTGCTTATTCCTAATTTAGGACCAAATTCTGCTTTGAGTTTGATAAAAAATAACTCGCATGAGTAAAGTATGTGGGATTTGACCTTAGACTACTATAGTATACCTACTCATCTAATTTAGGATTGTGTCAAATTGTGGGAGGGGGATGAGGGAGGGAAGAGAATGATGAAATCTAATCTTACTCTTATTGTTCTTTTATAACACTTTCAATGTTTTTGAACACATAAGTAAATTAACTACTTAAATAAAACTTTGCAATCACAATCCCCACATTATTAATTTACTGTGTTTAGAGACATTGCTTTCCAGACATTGCATGTGCATGATATCTAAAACAAGAAAAACCCTGGAAAATAATATGGAAAATATTGAGTGGGTTTTCCAGTTTATTTTGTATTGTACCAAACAATTAACAACATGAAAACTTATTACAATAGTATTCATCATAACATGTACAAAGTAACATAAAAAGTCATACAATCGACATGTAGTGTGAGAATAAGAGAGTACTGGAAAGAGTTGTAAATGACTAAAGTTCAGAGGCATAGAAAATGGCGCTAAGAAGACTGAATATATTCATAGTTTAGTGAAACCATTAGTATCACATCAAATAATAAATAATATTGAATTTATTAGGTGAAAAGTTGGCACCAAAAGGCCATAGAGACTTGTTCTATCACAAACCAACTCCTTGCTGCAGGTAACTACCGTACATTTATTCTGTTTTACTCATCCAGTAAATATATATGATATGGGTTTAAAGGGAAAACATTTCTGTGACTGATAGTACATAAAAACTGGGTTTTGAAATATTTTCTCCTTGAAAATAGAAAGCCAAATCTTTTTAAAAATTATGACAAACTTCAGAATCAAACAGTACCTCTTAATTTACTACTAGTAGTTCAAAATAGTGCAGCTAACAGGATTGTATTACAGTTTATTAATATTTCTGAATTGTCTTTTCTTAAGAATTATAGTAAAAACACTGAGGAGCCACAGCTGTTAAAAACTTACTTCTGCAGATATTAGTATTTCTCAATGCTTTTTTCAAACATTAAAGCAAAAACAAAAACAAAAACCAAATCCAGGGCAATCATGCAACAGGAAAAAAAAAAAAAAAAAAAAAGGCAAATGTGTAGCCTCTGAATGATGAGCCTAAAAACTAGGGATGAGAATTTGCAACCCAGTGGGAGGGAGAGCTAAGGTGACTTTAAACCACCTTTGTGCTTTGTTGCTCTGGGGAATGGAGAAGCTCCTGGCATAAATTAGACAGGCTCTCAGAATCTAAATTAAGGCAGCTTCTCCAGACTGCCCTACAAACCACAGCACTTCCTGGAATATCCACAGTGCTGTGGCCTGCCTCCAACACCTCCCTTCTGCCTCCTGCTCCATCTCCCATGCTGGGGCTTGTGAAGGGGTCATCAGTTCCTGAACTGGGGGAAACACTCTGTTGGAGTGGACACCTGAAACCATTAAGGAAGATGGGATGAATATCGTACATGTGTGTGGCCCATATTGTAGGATTAAGATATGACAGGTCCATCCCTATGAGTTAACATGGCAGTATAGTTTAAGTGTGTTTCTCATTCAACTCTTTGAGGGCTACTATCATATTAAAATTAAATTGCTTCTTTAAACTTTTATTTGGTGATTGTAGTACAAATTATTTTGATGCACATATATATATGTGCATCAAAATAATTTGTACTACAATCACCAAATAAAAGTTTAAAGAAGCAATTTAATTTTAATTCCGCAGAGATAAAATGCAGTCCTCAAAGGGTTAGAGTGCTTTCCAAGGATTTTTTTCTTTGACTATTTTCTTTTTTCCCCTTTTCCTTGAAAATTAGAGGAACAGCGGAATACTGCTGCTAATATACTGAGACTAATTCATGGTAAGCACAATTTTTTGTAACCCTCTGAGCACTGACATGTTTCAGAATTTACCACAAAAGATATAGATGAAGAGAACCTAACAAACTTGCTGCAGATTTTCAAAATATATAAAACATGTTAATGTTTATTCTAGCTTTTACAATTTCTTTCTTTCTGTTGTTTCTAATGACGCCAGTTTAATGCAGATGCCAATATGTAAAAAAAATTATTTTAGCTTTAAACAAATTATGTTCAAAAAGATTCAAAGCTGTTCATCTCTGCTTAAAAAATAGAATGAAGAAATAACTAAAATTATCCCATTAGAACAGATCTTATCTATTATTGTTTCTTTTCTCAAATTTCAGATCCCTTGACTACTCACATGGAAATGGTGACTGAGATTGTTGTGCCAACGGTGTTCACACTCTGCATACTTATCAGTGCTATTCTATTAATGTTCCTCCTTCGGAAGCGCAACTAAAACTACAAGTTTACATAACATCTTCATTTTGCATAAGCAATAAAATGTCATTCTTATTCTTACACTGTTTTAAAGGTTTCCACAGATGCCGCCTTTACGTAACACTGTAATGTTAAAAAAAAAAAAATTCAGCTTTACTTTTGTGTACATATTGTTGCTTCTACATTTTATTCAATTTCAGCCATAAGACATAATTTAGAAATTTTACAAAGGCAATTCATGTCTCAATATTAATAGCTATCAAAATTCAACTGCAGGTTTTATCTTCCTTTATGTTTTGCCAAGTTTGCATTTTCTTCATTAGGACAACAGTTGGCTGAGATTAAATTGTTTCAAAGCTTGCCAATATATATTTGAAGGATAGGCAGATTGTTGGCAAGTTCTGTTTTCAACCTGTTCATCACTGTATTTTTAAATTACCATGGAAGTGCTAATTTCGAAATATGAACATAGAATACTTAGAGCATATCATACTTCAAAATCTTAATGCCATTGCATAAACATTAACTATTCATCCCCATACAATAATAATTAGGTATTATTAACCCAAATTTTGCACATGGGTGGAATAAATGTGATAGGCTAACTGACTTGTTCACAGCCTTACGGTCAGAGTCAGAACCAGAAGCAAAGAATCGTGATGTCCAGTCCTATGCTTAGGCCACTAGACCTACCTCATCATTAGGACCCTACCAAATTCATGGTCCATTTTGGTCAATTTCATGGTCATAGGATTATAAAAATTGTAAATTTCACAGTTTCCAATATTTAAATCTGAAATTCCACATGCTGTAACCATGGGGGTCCCAACCTAGAAAGGGCTTGGGGAGGATAGGGGGGTTTGCAAGGCTATTGTAGGGGTTCATGATATTGCCACCATTTCTTCTGAACTGCTGCCTTCAGAGCTGGACAGCTGGAGAGTTGCAGCTGCTGGCTGGGACCCCAGCTCTGAAGGCAGTGTCGCCACCAGCAGCAGCACAGATGTAAGGGTGGCAATAACACGACAAACAGATTTCACAGGGGAGACTAGATTTCATGGGGGAGACCAGATTTCATGATCCATTACACATTTTTCACTGTGAATTTGGTAGGGCCCTACTCATAATACTTTCTTTATTACAGAATGTTACAGACACAAAAAAATGTGATCCAAGGACTTGGACATGTGAGTTAAGATACTGTACCAAATTCAGTCCTGGTGTAAGCGAGTACAGCTTACTCAAGATGCACCTGCTTATACAGAACTGAACTAGTTCCCGAGTATGGCTAGCAACCTGCCATTGCTTGGCCTGAAATGATTCCTTCAAAGCAAGACTTTATGTTCAACTTTTACCAAAATTCCAAAACACAAACTCATTTGTGGATGTCAGGTTAACTGTGCACAAAACGGATAGATTTCTTAGCTTCTATTCAAGAAGAATGAATAAAAATCAATTACTTAAAAAAACACACACATTTAAACTGTATTTCAAAATTTAACTTTAATTTAAATTTTAATATGTTTTTATTTTTAAAGACAGATTAATTTATATTCAGTTTAGGCTTTAGCATAGGTTGTCATAAATTCAAATTTAAATAATCTATTAAAATAATTTAAATAAATCTGAATAAATAAAAATCTCATACACTGATTCAGTGAGCCCTTTTCAAACTATAAAGGCTGTTTTTTGGTATATAAAATCAGGGAGAAAACATCTTTAACTACATTTTGGGGTCAAACTTAATAATATGGTATGATCTATATCATTTTCAGTTTTGACAACGGAATGAATGCTGGCAGTTACTTTTTTCCAGATGTCAGTACTTACAGTTTCTGTTGTGCAGAAAAGCTTTAGCCTCAAATTACTGAACAAATGTACGTTATGCTATATAATTAGATAAATGTGCATCCTCCTAGCAAAAAGTAGTACCAAATCTAATGTAAAGGCTATATTTAACTGTAAATCAAATCAACGTTTTAATAGTTATATGAATGTTCTTTATAAAAATAACTCAAAAGTACAAATGAAAACAAGTGATTAAAATCAATTATTTGCATTTAAAGGAATGTTGAATTTGGGCTAGATGAGAAGAACAACTCCAAAATATAAATATAGGGCTAGAGAAAATTGAAGTTCTTTTACAAAATTTAAATGGCACTGGAAGCGCATCTCTCCAAATAGGTTTTACTGATGTAACATCATGTGACACCAGCAAATATTTTATAATGCTGTTTGCTCTTGGTCAGCTACTTTGTACAATAAGCAATAAAAATAAAATTAAAACAATGTAAAAAAGTAGCATATTCATAATTTATAAACTATCAAAATTAGTTTTAAAAGCAATTACCTCTTATACTAATTTTTTAAAATAACTGCATGTTACAAAGTATTTCAACAAACTATACACATACTGTTCAATTATGGGTCTACGTAGATTCTAAACTTCAACACAACAAATAACTAACAAATATAGGGTATCAATCTTCCAACCACAAAATATATTTAGATATACTTCGGGAAGCAAATATGCTGACAATATTTTCAATTTACTGTACCTTCTAAGCATCTATCTGTACACCAGCATTCTTTTATGTAAAATGCACCTGACTGCAGTTAGCCATGGTAATAAAATACATACTTTCTTCAGTGTTTCCATTAACTGTTGTATCACAAAGTACTCCTGCAGTACAAAAGAACTAAGTATTAACATGGTATTCTTACAAATGACAGCTCATAAGAAAGTTTGACATGATGGCTTCAAGAATCTGTTATAAGCACCACTTTCCACTGAAATTAATAGGCTCTCAAAATTATTTTGAAAGATAAGAAAATGTCCAAGATCTACTAAAATGTTAATCTCTTTTGTCACTGTCAAAAGAAAGGCAAATCAACTCTACACTGGTCCTATACTTGGAATTCTTCCCTAGTTTTTCAAGAGTTTTTTAAAACGTTGCTCCAGCCAACATGGTGAATCTGGACACCTACTCTTCACGTTGACAATACGTTTACCCTCTCTATTGGACTGAGAAGCAGGATGCCAAAGTTCAAAGACAGTTATACTTAGAACTATGTTATAGTCCGTTTTAAAAGTAACTGTCAGGCTGGGGAGGGAAAATCATCTCACACTGAAAATTTTGTACCTCATATAGTTACAACTAATACCTAATAATACTATAACAGAAAGGTTTTTTCCCCACCTCATTTGTTTACTTTGTGTATGCAGCAACACTTTTTACATTTAGCCAGTTTCACTTTTTCTACATATAGTCAATTTCTCCCTTGCTGAAGAGATTCTTATGCATAAAAAGGAAATAAAAAATATTTAAGCCACACTGTTTAAAAAGTGCTGTATGAGACACTTGGTCAAACAAAACAATACATCACTAGTTAATTTAAAAAAAATTCAAGCTTACAGTATCATTTTAATATTTTATACCAGAAATGGTTCCTTACCTGGGTTGTTCGAAGTCATATGTTCAACAGGAGGACTAGTGCTAAGCTGCCATACTGTTTTAACCTCCTTCTGACCAGGTACACTATTTATTTCCACCCTCCATATTTGTGCGTGATCACTGAGGGAACAATCAAATAGCACAAAAAAACCTTAATAATTATGTACTCAATCAAGATAGGAATTTCCCTATTATGAAAGCTGAGGTTTGGCTTACTTTTGATAGAACTTATTGACAACAGCTGGTCTGATTGGTAGCTGAAACACATGCTTCTCATTCAGAGGATTTTCTTTGTAATATTTTATGCAGGACCTGTGATAAAAGCAGTCAAATACTGTTACTTATTACTTCTTGGATGAGTGTTTATGCAACTACTCAACCCCAGATAAATATACATGCAAAACTAACTACATTTTCATGCTTTCATGACAATAGATCAGTTACTATGCCCTTGCAGAAAACCTTGATTCCAAAACTTGATTTTGGCTCTTGCTTCCCAGGTCAACAGAAAATGATCATATCACAACAGTGACTTCATAAGAGTTACTATACTTGACAAATTGCAATTGCACAATATTTATTCCTCACAAATGTTCCCTCTAAAACCAGGGCATTTTTTAGAATGGAAGGCTAATTTTTCACACTATCCAGTCACAGATACTTTGTAGCATTGAAAATACATATGAAATATGTTGGGATTTTGCATTAGTTGAGAGCTAAATGGATGAAAGCCTCAAAAAATTGCAAGGTTTCAAAGCATGACTTGAAAGGGCTGATAAAACAAGACATGCAAGAAAGAATCTGCAGCAACAAAAAAGCTAAGGTTAAAAAAAAAACCCACTAAATTTTTGTTTTTAATGTTATTTTGAAGGTATGTTCTTCTGAATACCCGTTTTACATATTTCAGAATGGAGGAATGGCTGGGATCTGAGAGCTCAGAAAGGAAAAGGAAGAAGAGAAGAAAATGAAAATAAGGATTCTAGTGAGTTCCCTGAATCCCTTCACAAGATGATGGGGAAAAGTACAAGGGTATTAAACCAGGGCAGAAAAATTGAACAGGAAGATCCAAATGCTCCCATTACAGTCCCCATTCCTCACAATCATTATCAATAAAATACAGTTTATAAAAAGTTTGCCTTTTGACTATATCTAGTTATTTAACTAATCCATTTATTATTGACATTTAAATGATGGAAAGTAAAAATTAAATAATTACTGCATCAAAGGGAAGAGGTTCTCATGTTTAAAGTGAAGAAAGACTGTGCAGCTGACCAATATTTCCAGCATATGATGAAGTTTTTGAATGCGATGAACCTGCTCCTGTAGCTCTACTGATGTGGAAATGAAGTAGTCCTAGAGAAGAAAATATACACTTGAAAACAAGACATAAACAAAGCTCTTAAAAGGTAACTATTGGTGTTGGGTGGGTTAAATATGCTAACCAGATGAGTACTCAATTTGTACACATTCTGAAGGTCAACTCTTTCTGCTACATTTGTCTGCCCCTTTTTTATGAGAAAATAGGGTATTGATTTATAAAAATCCTGCTCTCAGAATGCTTCATTAAGCATATTTCTTGTAACCGAAACACCATGCTTTCTTGCAGCCAAGAGAAGCAACACTCCATGCAACCCTTCAACCATGAAGTAACCCTAGAACATGCAGTTTGTTGACGTTGAGTCAAATGCCAGTGAAGTTAGAATGTCACTCTCTTCCCTACTTTAAAAAAAAAAAAAAAGTTTAGTGATGGTGAAAAAGACACTGGATTATACATGGGACATGTACAAAATAACTGGCAAAAGTTCAAGTTCCCTTTTAATCTGCAAATACACCCCAACCTTGACCTGGAAAGTCCACCTCTTGGGTGAGAAAGTAGTTTAACCTCCATGGCCATGCAATTTTTGGCTCTCTGCTGAAAATACCAATAAAAATGCTAATTGGGATGGCTTGTGCAATATGGGTCTAGACTACCAATTCTTTTCACATGGGTCAAACAGCTGTAACATGGTGGTTACTTTGGATCACCACAGATGTGGAAAGACTACCAATGACTTCAGTAGGTTTGAATCAGGGCTTTGGTCTGGGTTTGAGCCAGAGAGCTGGAAATGAAATGTGGAGATGTCATACTAACAAAAATACTACCACCTTGCATTCATAGTGCAATTTTCATTCCTAGATCTGAAAGCTTTTTTACAAAAATGGGGAAGTATGGTCTCCACTTAGAGATGGGGAAAAACACACAAAGGTTATGTGACTTCTTGTGCATAAGGTCACACAGCAAGTCAATGGCAGAGTCTGGAAGAGAATCTAGATTTCCTGATCTACAATATGGTGCCCTACCCAGGGGACTAAGCTGCTGTTACCTACCACCTAAACTATTAATCCCACACGTTGATATTTTATCCATACAGCAATCCTAGTTTTAAGGAGGTGACAGACTTTCCATGATTAAGAATATGATTTGGAAGAAAAAGTGTTTTAATAGTAGAATTTTAGGACTGTCAGGGTTGACAGTGTTCACTTCAAATACGTATGAAACACCAATTCAGAGTGTTATCAACTTTTGAAAAGAGTGACAAACAAGCAAAACCTTCAGGGGCACTGAAATGCAAGAGCTACAAAACCAGATTTCTAACCGCAATCCTTCATGGCTGAATGTAAATTTTCTCTACTACTGAAGTTAAAATTTTGTTTCAACAGCTATAAGCACTCTATTCTCAGGAGCAGATCCAAATTAATGGACAGGATTTCACAGCTCCCGACAAAATCCTGGCCATGGTTCTATCATATTTTCAAGTGGAAGTAGCTCTGTAGATAAGGACATAGAAGGTGGTACCTCAGCTTTGACCTAATTTCTCCTTCCTTTACCCTCTTGCCAGAGTTAAAAAAAGTCTTTAAAACACTCAATTTTCAAGGCTGAGAACTCAGAATATATGTTGTAATCCTGCAAATAGGCTTTATGAATTTGGAGAGAAAATTAATCTAAACAAGTATATGTCAAAACTCTATATTGCTTTCAAAATAAGAATTAAAATATCTCACCAGATAGGTTAATGTTGCAAGTTCTTGGCCTGCAAAACAAATAAAGATTTTTTTTTAAAGAAACAAAAACATGCTAAAAGAAAAGGAGTACTTGTGGCACCTTAGAGACTAACCAATTTATTTGAGCATGGGCTTTCGTGAGCTACAGCTCACTTTATCGGATGCATACCGTGGAATGCATCCGATGAAGTGAGCTGTAGCTCACGAAAGCTCATGCTCAAATAAATTGGTTAGTCTCTAAGGTGCCACAAGTACTCCTTTTCTTTTTGCAAAGACAGACTAACACGGCTGTTACTCAAAAAACATGCTACACACTGTGGCAGCTTCAGGCATAAGCAAAACAGGTGGCCACAGGAAGCCACACTAAGAGAAGAGTGCAATCACCACACCTGAGGACTTCTTTGTACTCACTGCTGTAAGTACAAAGAGAAACATGAAGTGGCTGGTGTTGGAGACAGTGGTTGCCAGCCACCAACATGGCATGTTCCCTTCATGGAAATGCAAAGGGGCAGCAGACGTAGGCATAGCAGGTGCTAGCATCAGCTAGGTCACCAGCCCTAAAGTTCTCAATGCTTCTCCCTCCTAAACAGCGTAAGGTTTGAAGCAGCAGAAACAGGTGAGCAAATGAGAGTGCATACAGGTTGGCAGTGTGGTAGGAAGACTCAGGGAATGAAGAAAAGGTGAAGAGTGAAGCCTTGAAAAAAAGTAGCGTAGGCATATAGGCCCACATTAGATTGGGTGAACTATGGTTTTAAATTGAGCTGGGATATTAGCATGAGCAATAGGCCCAAAGCATGTGACCAAAAAGAATGAGAACATCAGAAAGAAAAGTTCTTGTGTTAAACTTGTAGTGACCCTTCAAAATACCAGTGTTATCTTATTTAAGGTTTGGGCTGAAGTAATAGTAATAAAACACAATCAACTGGGTATCAGGTGCAGTAATAATTGACTATATAAGAAAATCCTTCATATGGCCTTACCGAAGGTCCAATAATTGGCAATGACATCAATAGTTTGTTAAAGGGATATAAAAAAATAAACTCTTAAAGACTTTATTGGTAATACCTGCCAGACCATGATGGAGTCGACCACTATGGATCTAAGATATCCCTGAGCTTGGCCTGTTTGTAAGTATCCTGATCAAATGCTTATAAATGTTTTGTTACTATTTGGAGGTAGTAAACTGCTTATTATTTAGACTTTCTAAGCATGTTTCTAAACAATTGTATAAATGCCATTTGACCTTTGGATTTAATAAAAGGAACGTATGGTTAAATTAGTCTTGTGGTAATAGCCTGATAAATAATAATTCCAACAAAGAGTAAGATAAAAGTGACAATGACAAAAATGAACAAAACAAAAAACAACAAAAATGGAGACAACAGAAGAATGGAAGCAAAAGAAACAATGCAACTGTGAGACTGAAGATAAAGCCACAACACCATTGAAGTAATTTTTATTTATTTATTTTATTTTTTTTAATATCCCTACGTGCTAGCTTCTATTTCAAGGTTTGGCTCAAGAATGCAATTTATTAATTTTGTAAAATAAATGATACTGTCAGTATTCTTGGCTGTGTTCTCCTCAACCCCTTTTGATTACAAGAAGGGGGAAAGAGAGACAGTAAGGACGGACACACATTTTTTCCCCACCTAAAGCATTATCACACCTAAAAACAGGCTCTGGTTAAATAAATAGGATATTATTCAAATTTCTCCCTTCAGATTTTTCAGACTGATAGGTTTCTATCATTTTGACATTTATGAAATCCTACATAAAAAGATTAGTTTAGAAATCTGTTACAGCCTTAGTTATAAGCCATAGTTATTTTGAGATAATTTTCAAATTAAAAGTAAGCAAAGGAACACACTAAGTCGTAAGTAAAGATTTTATGGGCAATAAGGAAAAAGGCTAAGGTGACAGAGAGGTGAAGTTAAAAAGAAGAAGTCAAAAACAGAGGTGATGGATTGTTTGGGTCAAATAACCTTTTCTTGTGAATTTCCAGTCATGCCTTTAAATAACAGGTTTACCTATAAAACAACTGACATAATCTTTCTTCATTTTGTCCAGACCAATCTCCAGAAGCATTTGAATTGGAGTGACACCACTGAGGGAAATAGCCTCCATAGCTCCATGATAAGATTGTTGAATCAACTTGCTTAGTAAACTGCTACTCCCTTGATGAATCTAAAAAAATAAGATTTTTCTTGTAATATATAGATGAAATACACAGTATAATTTAAAAGCAAGACATTATAAAAAAAAAAGAGACAAACTAATAGTGAACTATTTAAAAACTGAATTTAAAATATGTCAAAATGAGGAGTAATTTACAAACATTTAAAAGAAATGTATCCTACTTTATTTACACATCCAAAGCTGATATTTTTATCATGAAAACATATTCAGGATACACATACATACCCAAGGCTGTATCTCACCATGTTCTAGGGATTTTATAATCAGTGTGAAACACTCTACCAAGTCTTGATAGGAAGTGACACCTTGAGAGAAGAGTTATTCCAATATTTAATTTATAATGGCTACAAAAACATCTATCTTCCTTTATCACATAGATGATAAAAGAGTTGACCAATGCACAAAATGTAGGACTTTAAAAAACTCCAAGAACATAATCCCATAAATGTACTGCACAGAATGGCCCAAAGATAAGTTTAAATGTGTGACTGAACCAAGAGGTCTTGCACTACACCATGAAATTTGACAAGAGGTCTGTGAGAGCAGGTTCCAGAGAATGGCCCTTTACTGATAATGCCTGCCCTAGAGTACAGCTCCAGAACCAACAGTGAAAGCAACTCAACAGTTTATAAATACTGTTAACAGGACATGAGGAGAGAGAGCGGATTTCTCAGTTAACTAAGTCCTAGACCGTGTCAGGCTTTATAGACTGCAGTTCAAAGTGTTTGTTACAAACTGAAGTAAACAGATAACAATGCTTCATGATCCACAGAAACTAATATATGCTCTTAACTGCTTGCCTCACTTAAGAGAGGAGTGTCTGCATTCTGCATCAGCAGAAACCATCAAGTACTGATATACCTGAGTAGGGTATATTATACATTTGTATAGAGTACATTTTAGTCATCTGCTTTTGATGTTACAAAGGCATTCATTAATGTGGCAATATTCACATCAGAAAAGAATGATCATGACTTCCAAGTCAGCCCTACAAGTAAAAAAAGGCATTTATGTGACAAAACTGTCACTTGTTAATAAAAAAAACAGTAATTGATTTAATTAATAGGCCCTCAAGACTGCATATATTATTTGCAAAGGTTGACATCTATAACATTTTCTGAGGAACTACCTACTTTAAATATATTCCGTGAGCCCCAGTAAAGTCTATTTTATAGATAAATGGCTGTCACTAACAAAGTAAGTATGCACTATTTATTGCTAAACAGAACCAACAATCAACTTGGCAAAGAGAAAATGTGCACATACCACAAGTCACCATACTTTCCTATAATATCGTAAATAGAGCATGCTATCTTATGATTAAATGAATGACAATGAGCCTTAAGCCTGTTTATGGCATAACCATCCTGAAGAGTTAATCAGTTCTTAAAACTTGGAGAAACTTATACCAATTTCTTAAAATATGTATAAAAAAGTGGTATAGGAAATGTGTAAAAGTTATAAAGGCAGTGAGAAAAAACACTTACTCTTTCTCATTTTGCACCACAATTGTTCAGCAAAATCCAGGTCTCCTCGCTCATTAAAAAGTGATTTTATTGAACTGTCCACTGCAGCAGAGTCACACTGGACTTTCTGAAAGAGAGAGTTTTACTTGAAAATGCTCCCTCAAAATGAAGTCAAACATTTGTCATAACATTCTAAAGCAGTGGTGTGCAAACTTGTCCAATCGTGCCCCCCCTTATCATTCACAGAATTTATTGCATCCCACCCTCTATTGCCACCTTTACTTCTGCACTACTACTGGCAACAGTGCTGCCTTAAGAGCTGGGTGGCTGCTAGGCGGGGCATTCATGTTGTTTGCAGTGCAAGAGGACTATATTTTTAATCCCGCTCCTGTCTTGCCCCATAATACCCATTCTATTTTTATCCTGTTCCCACTGTTATGATAGTGGGTTCTGCAGGACTCACAGGATCCCAGTTTCTTCACACAAACCCCAGAGAATCTTATATGCTCCAGTTTGCACACCACTGTTCTAAAGATCCACATAAATCAAATCCTCTCCAATGGCCAAGTCTATTCTCAAGATTAATATTTCTGCTCCTGCCCAATCAGTAGTTCGATAAATAAACGTATTTCATACCAATTAAGAAACATGCTTTTACCAAGTCTTAACAAACCAGTGAGGAGCCACAGTCCTAACCTCCTGGGAAACAGCTAATTCCTAAAGGTTATGTGCCCTCAAAAAGGCATTCATGTTGGGAAGAAGGGTTTCTGGCCATTGCAAGGCAGAGCTTGACCAGAATTCTTGCCTAGAATGAGTAAAAATGGACGCTGACTCCCTCAAACCTATCCTTCCACTGTGACTTACAACTGGCTATACTAGTATAGACAGGAAGTACTGTCATAAACAGCTGCAGTGATGGAATTAGAGAAGCACCAGTAAAAGATATAACTACTACTGCACAGGTTTCACAGGTGATTTTGGTTTTTTTTTTTTAATATATGACTTGCAATGCACCAAATACAAAAAAAAAAATTATTCTGAGCGTATGGTTTTCCCCATGATCTTTGATGCAGGACTAAAGTTTATGATTTTGTTGCTGTACATTAAATCACAGACTTGCAATCAAAATGGAAAATTTATTTGACTTAACCGTCCCATAAAAAGAAAAAAAACTCAACTATTTGTGAGGAGGCAGGAAGACAAATAAATAAAAATACTAACATAATTACTAAATAACTACTAAAAATAAATACAAAAAATATTAAAATCCCTACAAAATTGTATGAAGTTATTTAAGGCAGGAAATTACCATGGTGGTGTGTGTTACGTAAACAGCTAGAAAGATAAATTTGCCAGTTTCCAGACCCTCCAGTAGGCCATGGACCACTGGAGAGTCAAACCAGCGGCAGAGTGAAACTGGCACAGAGATCAAAGCGCTTCATGCAAGAAGGTCAAATAGCAGCATGAGACTGATCACTTTAGGAGATGAGAGGGGAAGATTAAGATGATGAAAAGTGATCGTGTTTGGAAGAAATCAGAGAGAGAAATCTCCAACCCATAGGTAAAGAGGAAGAGAGAGAAGGAAGCAGACCTTTGTGGAGTTAATCCACTCCTATCCATCAGGATTGGTGTTGCCTGCTGGAGAAGATCACAGCTACTTCTCTTTGAACATAACAATCAAGTACTAAAAGCTAAGTAAAACTCCAGGGAAAATGCTAAATTATAAAATATTGAGAGAGATTTTGAAAAGGCACAAATGGCATTTCGCGTTCAGTTAAGTGCCCAACAGCTACATGTACTTTGAAACAATAGATTTCCTACAGTTCCTGCTGAGTCAGGACAACAGGGGAAATTTTCAAAGTACTGCAGAGACAGTGAAAGAAACAAGAGGATGACTGAAAATACACATACCTCTGCATCATTTTTATGTACCGATGTATTAAATCCATCCAGTTTATTCTTTAAATCTAGAAGGGGGAGGGAAAGGAATTGCACCACTATAATCATGTACAGCTGAACAACAGTATGAGTCTCAGATATGTTACAATTTTGGTCCTACTAACAGACATTAGCTGGATGGATAACAAATACTGACAGGTATTATCTTTCTTTGTGAGTCCTTCTAAACACTGTTTCTACTATTCAAAATTAGAAAATAGAATATTTGAGTTGGAAGGGACCTCAGGTGGATGATCTAATCAGACTTATGAAAAAAAATCCTCACCCACTAAAAAAAGAGTTCATAATGCTGTCATGGGTTCCTTGCCCTCCTCAAGGGCGGGGAGGTGGAAGAGAAGGGTTTGGAGGTGTGCACACATGCGTTGAAAAAAAATCACCACTCTCCTGCATCTAATACATTCAGCTGCATAATGGAAGGATTTGTTATATTATTTCTATATGCCCATCAATTAAGGACAGTTTAGTCTGGGATGGTCCCTTCTTGTGTATTTTTAAAGTAAATTGTTTTGTCAGTTTTTCACACTTACTTTTACAATATTCAATATACAATATTTTATACAATATACAATATTTTACAATAACTTTTACAATAGTTGCCTAGCGATAGCTTTTTAACACCTATCCTCTCTTCACTAATGCTGAAACAATGGTTTTATTGTTTATCAACATCTCTGGTTTTCTTCCTTACATTTTTTTGCTTCTCTGTTAGTCTATATGCTAATTTGTGGATATTTTCAGTTTCATTCTAAAGTTCTCCGTTTCTCTTCTTCTATATCCATTTTCTATAATCTTAAACTTGCATGTCTGTAGCCTCTCTGACATGAATTTTTTTGCGCTTAGTGGCCAGAATTTTCAAAAGTTACTAGTGATTTTTGGAAGCCTCCGTTTGAGGCACCTTAAAAAGGATGTACTTTTAAAGAGTGGGCATTTGGCACTTTCTGAAATTCAGGATAATTTTGGATAACACAAGTTGGGCACACAAAGATTGGTGTACTGAAATCACTAGTCCCTGAAATCTGGGCCACTAAGTTTACATGTGTCTTTCCTGTCTCAGTCTGTAAACTGTTGTACAAGAGATTTTTATTTGTCTCATTTCATTTTTTTCTTCCTATTTTCCACAACATGGGAAAAACACTAAGGTTTACCCATTGCACAGGACTCTCATGATTTCACCAGGAGAGTTAGAGGTATACAAAGTAAACTGTTTCTTGAACACTTCTGGTGGACTACAGTACCTTTATAAATTACCATTTGCAGTTCCAATACTATCATAATCTTATGTGGCATTTTCATTTCATTCTTGGGAAATTTTAAGTCCCTTGCAATTTTTTTCTTAACATAAATTTTGATTACAGGATTTGCCCTTCTCCACACAATTTCACCCAATCATAGCATCTCAAATTATTAAACAAAAATACCATTCAGAAGTTCCTGGACGAGCTCAACCGCTGATTCAGCTACCAAAGGCTCAGGCCATTCAGTCACACCAGTCTTCAAGCCTTCAGCCAGAACCTAAGAGCACAAAAAAATCCAGAGACACTTATTTTGTTTGAGGTTCTGCACATAACAGAGAATATAAAAGTGTATTAAACTTGCAAAGAAAAATTACCCACCATATGAAAATTCCACCAAGAAATGTATATGGTATGCAATTCTGCCAAGCTAATGCTGTGTTAGACATGTTTGGAATGTTCTGATTTGTGTGTTCTTTATTTCTCAACCTTAACACTGCATTAAAAATTATTTTGCATTAAATATATTCATGTAATTTCAAAGAACCTTTTAAACAGCTACGGAGATTCTAAATAAGAACACCATCCAATTGTGGAGGTAAATGCTCGGTTGCGCAGGTGGTGTCAGAGATAGATCTTTGGATTCTTTGACCCTGGAACGTTGTTCCAGGAAGGATTGCTTGGAAGAGATGGGATCCATCTAACGAAGAGAGGGAAGAGCATCTTCGCAGGCAGGCTTGCTAACCTAGTGAGGAGGGCTTTAAACTAGGTTTGCCAAGGGATGGAGACCTAAGCACCGAGGTAAGTGGGAAAGAGGGTGCAACAGGGGAGCCCTCCTGATTCGCACTGAGACAGCAGGGCAATCAGCTAGTTATCTTAGGTGCCTGTACACAAACGCAAGAAGCCTGGGAAACAAGCAGGAAGAATTGGAAGTCCTGGCACAGTCAAGGAACTATGATGTGACTGGAATAATAGAGACTTGGTGGGGTAAATCACATGACTGGAGCACTGTCATGGATGGGTATAAACTGTATAAAGGACATAAAGATATACTGTTTAAAGGTATAAAGGACAGGCGGTGGAGAAAAGGTGGAGGACTTCCATTGTATGTAAGAAAGCAGTATGATTGCTCAGAGCTCCAGTATGAAACTGGAGAAAAGCCTGTTGAGAGCCTCTGGGTTAAGTTTAGAGGTGAGAGCAACAAGAGTGATGTCGTGGTGGGCATCTGCTATAGACCATCAGACCAGGAGGAGGAGGTAGACAAGGCTTTCTTCGGACAACTAACAGAAGTTTCCAGATCGCAGGCCCCGGTTCTCATGAGGGACATCAACCACCCTGACATCTGCTGGGAGAGCAATACAGCAGTGCACAGACAATCCAGGCAGTTTTTGGAGAGTATTGGGGACAACTTCCTGGTGCAAGGGCTGGAGGAACTAACCAGGAGCCATGCTCCTCTTGACCTGTTGCTCACAAATAGGGAAGAATTGGTAGGAATAGAAGAAGTGGGTGGCAACCTGGGGAGCAGTGACCAGGAGATGGTCATGTTCAGGATCCTGACAAAAGGAAGAAAGGATAGCAGCAGAATACAGACCCTGGACTTCAGAAAAGCAGGAAACTGATGGGCAGGATCCCCTGGGAGACTAATTGTGGGGGAAAGGAGTCCAGGAGAGCTGGCTGTATTTTAAAGAAGCCTTATTAAGAGCGCAGGAACAAACCATTCCAATATGCAGAAAGAATAGACAATATGGCAGGCAACCAGCTTGACTTAACAGACAAATCTTCGGTGAGATTAAACACAAAAAGGAAGTTTGCAGGAAGTGGAAACTTGGACAGATGACTAGGGAGGAGTATAAAAATATTGCTCAAGCATGTAGGGGTGTAATCAGGAAGGCCAAAGCACAGTTGGAGTTGCAGCTAGCAAGGGATGTGAAGGGTAACAAGAAGGGTTTCTACAGGTATGTTAGCAACAAGAAGATGATCAGGGAAAGTGTGGGACCCTTACTGAATGGGGGAGGCAACCTAGTGACAGAAAATGTGGAAAAAGCTGAAGTACTCAATGCTTTTTTTGCCTTGGTCTTCACAGACAAGGTCAGCTCCCAGACTGCTGCAATGGGCAGCATAGTATGGGGAGGAGGTAAGCAGCCCCAAGTGGTGAAAGAACAGGTTAAGGACTATTTAGAGAAGCTGGACATGCACAAGTCCATGGGGCCAGATGCAATGGATCTGAGGGTGCTGAGGGAGTTGCCTGATATGATTGCAGAACCATTGGCCATTATCTCTGAAAACTCATGGCGATCGGGGGAGGTCCCGGACAATTGGAAAAAGGCAAATATAGTGCCCATCTTTAAAAAAAGGGAAGGAGGAGAATCCACGGAACTACAGACTGGTCAGCCTCACCTCAGGCCCTGGAAAAATCATGGAGCAGGTCCTCAAGGAATCCATTTTGAAGCACTTGGAGGAGAGGAAGGTGATCAGGAACAGTCAACATGGATTCGCTAAGGGCAAGTCATGCCTGATCAACCTGATTGCCTTCTATGATGAGATAACTGGCTCGGAGGATATGGGGAAAGCGGTGGACATGATATACCTTCACTTTAGCAAAGCTTTTGATACAGTCTCCCACAGTATTCTTGTCAGCAAGTTAAAGAAGTATGATTGGATGAATGGACTATAAGGTGGATGGAAAGCTGGCTAGATCGTTGGGCTCAATGGGTAGTGACCAATGGCTCTATGTTTAGTTGGCAGCCAGTATCAAGCAGAGTGCCCCAGGGGTCAGTCTTGGGGCCAGTTTTGTTCAACATCTTTATTAATGATCTGGATGATGGGATGGATTGCACCCTCAGCAAGTTCGTGACTGACACTAAACTGGGGGGAGAGGTAGATACACTGGAGGGTAGGGATAGGGTCCAAAGTGATCTAGACAAATTGGAGGATTGGGCCAAAAAGAATCTGATGAGTTTCAACAAGGACAAGTGCAAAGTCCTGCACTTAGGATGGAAGAATCCCATGCACTGCTACAAGCTGGGGGCCAACTGGCTAAGCGACAGTTCTGCAGAAAAGGACCTGGGACTTACAGTGGACAAGAAGCTGGATATGAGTCAACAGTGCGCTCTTGTTGCCAAGAAGGCTAATGGCATATTGGGCTGCATTAGTAGGAGCACTGCCAGCAGATCGAGGGAAGTGATTATTCCCCTCTGTTCCACACTGGTGAGGCCACATCTGGAGTATTGCGTCCAGTTTTGTGCTCCCCACTACAGAAAGGATGTGGACACATTGGAGAGAGTCCAGCGGAGGGCAACGAAAATGATTAGGTGGCTGGGGCACATGGTTTACATGGAGAGGCTGAGGGAACTGGGCTTATTTAGTCTGCAGAAGAGAAAAGTGAGGGGGGGTTTGACAGCAGCCTTCAACTACCTAAAGGGGGGTTCCAAAGAGGATGGAGCTCGGCTGTTCTCAGTGGTGGCAGATGACAGAACAAGGAGCAATGGTCTCAAGTTGCAACGGGGGAGGTCTAGATTGGATATTAGAAAAAACTATTTCACTAGGAGGGTGGTGAAGCACTGGAATGGGTACCTAGGGAGGTGGTGGAATCTCCATCCTTAGAGGTTTTTAAGACCCAGCTTGACAAAGCCCTGGCTGGGATGATTTAGTTGGGGTTGGTCCTGCTTTGAGCAGGGTTTTTGACTAGATGACCTCCTGAGGTCCCTTCCAACCCTAATCTTCTATGACTCTGTGAACACAAAAAACGTAAAAAATACCATTCCTTGCAGATTGTTGACAACCAAACTGATATAAATTGGAAATTTCACATTTATACTTACAATCAGAAACTGCAGTTCTCTATGTAACTGGAACACAGGACTCCTGGGGTCCCCAGATTCCAGTCTAATGTTCTGAAAATTCCAAAAATACACATCAGATTTTGAGTTTGGAATACAAATTTGCTAAAACCTTATTAACAAAACTCATGAACTATTTATTATGAATGTTATCAACATACTATATTGCTACTGCAACAATAATGTAATCAGCAAAAATTAGCATATTTTCTGTGATCTACAATACTTGGTATAAACAGTGACAAAGGCTTTCTCCTACCAATGTTGCTGCTGCAGTGAGTGGAGGTGTCTGTAAAATCTTATCCACAATACTCCATGTAATATCAATATATATATTACTCTCTGATTCAATCCCTGTATCCTCCAATGTAGTGGATCGAACGAGCTCATATTGAGCAAAGCCTTTGGTTGCCACCTAGAATGAATATATTTTAAATAGACATTTAAAACAGATCTACCATTCTAAGGATTATTTTCAAAAGAATGTTATGTGATACTTCCTGAAGCCTGCAAAAGAGCCCTAAAATGCCAAATCAACATAGTACTGGGCAGGTGTTCCATCAATCAAACATTTTTAAGAGAACTTTAAAAATAAAACTTGGCTAGTGTCAGAGAAACATACTGCAATGTTGCACATCCAGAAGTTAGGTACCACGTGTGGTCCCTTGCTTCCCAGATTAGCAGGAGCTCACAGTGCTACAGATCCACACACAAATCAAGATATAAACACCACCCATAAAGCTAACCAAAAAGTCCCACAAATTAACAAATATACAAAGAATCTTACAACTAAAATAATTAAATTTACAATATTCAAAGCATGGGAAAGCATGAAAAACCTACAATAGATGAGCGATGTCTGATTTTGTGTGCCTTTTTGAGGTCTTCTAGACTTGCAAAACAGGTTATATCAGCTGTAGGACCTAGGAAAGGAAGAGAGACTTTCAGAAAATGCTAACCACAAATTGAATTTAGCACTCAGATGTAAATATTAAGTGATCAAAATGGAAAAAATAAGTGGCGGTATTCTCACAATGCAAATTCTGCTCACTTGTGACACCAGAGTAAGGTGCCATTCACCGTAAAGCTATTCTTCAAAATACTATCATCCCTCTATTGCTTTTGTACAATTAGCAGTGCAAATTAATGGCATTTTTAAATGTTCTGTAGGGTTCAGTTACTATATATAAGTGAAATGAATGGGAGAAATTCTCACTTCCCTAAAAGTTCTGTACAGCTCTGCAGACAGTCTGACACAATACCACTGCATTGATTGCATTCCGTTCACACTTTGAAGGTTATTTTTGATACCACTTGGGCTAGAGACAATTATTTTAAAATGAAAATTTAGATTATAGAGCACAAGTGGACACCCATCATGGGAATATTGGTTGTTACTGTATTAACTCTCATTTATTTCTTGTCCTCCCCTCTTTCAACTTTGGGGAACGGCTGACTGTGTAACGTTATAGCCAAGAGGAACTTACCATTACATGTAACCGTATGAAAACTGATCCCTGTGATTTTTTTCCCATTTTTGAGAGGCTCAGCTCCTAGCCAACAGGTATGCTCAGGGTCAGAGCTGTCACATCTTACCCACAGGGGAGGAAGCACAACTGGTTTGCTTATCTTCAGATGGGTCATGTTTGGATTTTGTGCCATTGTATAGAGTGAAATCAGTTGCCTGGAAATAAAAGAACAATCATTAACAAAATTTAACATGATGTTAGCTAACCCCTTTCTGTTAACTCTACTTCAAAATCTAGTGTATTAACAGTAAAGTCATTTACGTCTCAGTCCTGCACACTTACACACATGAGCAGTCCAATTTAAGTTAATGGGACTGCTCACAAGTGCCTTTGCTATATCAGGTTTATTACTCCTTCAGTTATTAATATTTCTAGTAGGTATGAGCTCCCTTTCCATGATGAAATACAGTCATCTCCCCATTAATATACAGCTTTGCAAATTCCTATGATTAGCTAGAACATAAAAACAGCCATACTAGGTCAGACCAAAGGCCCATCTAGCCCAGTATCATGTCTTCTGACAGTGGCCAGCGCCAGGTGTTTCAGAGGGAAGGAGCAGAACAGGTAATCTTGAAGTGATCCATCCCCTGCTGCCTGTTTAGTTTAGCTATACGCAACAGCTAGTATGCTAGTTACATTGCTGCACAGAATTTACTTTTGTGTTGAATAAGGTATAAAACTGCTTTTAAACAAAAAGATAAAACTATGGAAACTTACTTTGCTCTTGTAACAGACAGAGCAACTGGTCCAGAATCCTTCTGTGGTGCAAACTCTGAAATATAAGTGGCATCATCTATTTGTGATTCTTCCATTTGGTCAGTGAATTCAACATATCCCTTTAAAAGAAATGCACATGTAAATCTGAAAATTGGAATATATTTGGACGTTTCCAGGGATGTAAACATAAAGCTCTAGTTTTAAAACAAAAACAAAAAAAACCCACTTACCACTTTCTGCATAATGAATATCATACTGTTTCCATTCCAAAAACATTCTAAGGGACTTCCGCAACCCGCATCAACCAAACATACTTGGATATCAGCCTGCCAAAAGAAAAGAACATTTTTTTAATGTATTGCATTTACACGTTGTGTTTAGAAGTCATTTTTTTTATAAATATTTCAAAAACAACTAATTACACAACAAACTATTTTCTACTATAATTTCAACCATTCATTAATAATCCATGCCTTTCTCACTTCAAGATAAGACAGCTGCAATGTACTCTACATGGAGCTAAACCTTATCAACTGAGAAATTTAAGATGATGCAGAATGTTGCAAGCCACTTAATAACATCATATCATGAATCGCAGCTCCTGAATCTGTACTGGCTGCCTATTGGTTTCCAGGGGAAATGTATGGTTTAATTGACCTATTAAACCCCGAATAGCTTAAGACCTAAGAGATTGCCATCTTCACATGCCATGCTGTTGCAGCTGCAGTCAGTGGAGGTACTCAAGATGTAATCCCCTTGGTATAAAACAGAGGAGGAGTTTCTCATGACAGTTTCTCCATGAGTGGTTCTAAAGTTTGGAATTCAGTCCCTGAGCTGATCCCAAATAGCCCAAATCTGTTGCTTTCAAGGCATGCAGCAAAGCATAGCTCTTTACTCAGGCTTTTGAATATGAAAAGAAAAGGAGTGCACTAAGGGTACTGTTTGATTTGTCATTTCTATTCAGCTATTTATTTCCTACCTTTGAGAAAGCTGTTTTTAAATGTTACTCATTTTTAAAATTATGCCAAATTTGCCTAGATCCCAAGATTAGATGCTTCTCTTCTACACACCCATTTGTTATAAATTTAAAAATAAATAATGGTCTCTGACATATCTTTAGAAATTTTTCAAACCACTTCTAAGCTTATTTTTTTTTAAAAAGAAAAAATGTATTTACCTCAAAGGGAAACGGGTCTTTGGGGATACCTTTGTTTCCTTCATTATATACTCTGAAATAAAACAAAATATTCACTTAGTTTATTTTTTCTTTCCCCCCCTCCCCAAATGATACATTTGTCTCTAAAAACTAGAAAGCAAATGAGCCTCAGAGCTTAGTTTACTCTACGGCACACTACTGACTCCAAATAAAACTACATTTACACTACATGAATTATCTATTTCAAATCTAGTCAATTTAAAAACTTTAGAAAAATAAAAAGTTTCAAGTTCAACAGCTGCCGGAGTCTCCTTAACAGTCTCTGTGGTTCTACAATCATAGGCCCTGATCCTGCAAGTTCCTCCATGGGAGCAGACCCCACTGAATTTAATGAAGCTCTGCATTGACCCACCTCAGTTTGCAAGATCAGGTCTGTATCTTCCCAATTCTTGTTTTTTGAAAAATGTGTTTCTCTCCCCTGTTGCCGTGAGAGACACTCACAAATAGAAGGGAAAACTTACTTTACTATTTCTCCAGCATAGTCAGTGATTTTAACACAAAATTGTGCCATGTGAGCAGAGTAAACAAATTCCAAATGTAGAGAAAGTCTTATTTTTCAGTCTCTTTCAGTTATATTAATCTTAGGTGTTACTGGAAACAACAATGGGTAAAAAGTATTCAGATGGAGAGTAATTTTTTGCTGACAATGTACTGTTAACTCCTTTCACCACGAGGCATCCAAATGCAGTTTACAGGCAGCATGAATATGGATCACTAATCTACCACTGAAAGGCAGCAGCAAAAATTTAGTTTGAGAAGTGGAAGTGAAGAACAATAGGAATATTCCAATTTCAGTATATTATTACTCTAACTGGTTAATACCCGTAACTCTGACAAGCAACCACGAGATCTTTTAATGACCAAAACTGATCAAGCTATTTGTTTTCACACCTCATCTAAAACACTGCGGCAAAAGTTCAGTAATTATAGAGGAGAAAAATAGCAACCATTCAATTCAGGCTTTTTTGCCATATCTATTACTGCGCTATCAGAGCACCGAAAGCAACACCAATACCACTTCTTACAGCATATAGATTTCCTTTGGAGAACTTTCATACTGTCAGAGCTGGACAGGACAGAGACCCTAAAATATAATGGAGAGCTTCACACAACCTATCAACCCTCATCTAGACATGAATTATCAGGCCTGTTATAACTCAAGTTAAATAACTTCCATATAACTTGAGTTAACCAAGATGAATGTACATACTGACATAGACACTCCAAAAATGTTTAATCCAAGACACAAATGTTTATTCCAGGTCATGGTTCGCCTAGGCTACATATGTATGTTAGCAGTTAACTCAGGTTACAACAGCACCAAAAACTCTAATCTAAACAAAGCCTCGGTATTTTTCCAGTGTTTTAAGTTTTAGATATGTTTTAAGACTCAATTTTCTGGCATTTCTTAAAGTAAACTACTCTTTTTAAAAATGCATTAAGCCTGGTCTACACACAGTTTTTGGAACCAGTATTACTATTTCAGTTAGGCTTGTGAATTTTTTTTTAAACCAATCCAGTTATATTAGTGCAATCTCTAGCATGAACACAGTTAAATTATACCTTTATACCAGTGTATAAAGGTGCTTTATACAGGTATAGTTTATGGGAATAACAAAACAAATATAAAACACCTTTTTACTGCATCCACATTGTGGAGGCCGGCGGGGGGAGCATATAGTATTGTATATAAAGCAGTATAACTTTCTAGTGTTGACAAGGCCTTAGTTTCACTTCTCTTCCTTTTCCCAGTTCTCGCTCAATATTCTCTGCAATGCCATCAAGAAAAACTCCTTTTTTTCTTAGAAAGCAGTAACAAGTTTCAAGTATAACACTTTGAATACACTAGAATTTAAGGTGTTATTTCTGACATTATATTAAGGCCCCAGTCCTCAAAGGGAAAGACATGAACAGATCAGTGTGCCTATGTGGAACTCCATGTAGGGATCACACGGATCCCTTTCTAGAATCGAAACCCAAGTTTGCACCAAACCAAGGCAAGACCAAGACTGACTGCAGTTTCTTCTACCCAGGAGCCACTCACTTTTTTGCAGCTAGCTTCACCTGCCATTACTCTCTCATTTTACTAAATTAATCAATCAGCCATAATACTTTGCCCAGTATAGATGATACCAACTTCTTAATAACTGTATTAATCTCCTATTACAATTATGTGGCTAGAGCTGACAGCCTGTTAAGCAATGTAGAACGTCATGTGTACACTACAGCTGCTTAGGGCTGCCAACTGTCTAATCACACAAACCCAAACACCCTTGCCCCGCCCCCTGCCCCAAGGCCACACCCCTGCCCCTTCTCTGAGGCCCTCCCATTCACTCCAGCCCCCATCCCTCGCTCATTCTCCCCCACCCTCACTCACTTTCACTGGGCTGGGGCAGGGGTGCAGGCTGGCGTGTGGGCTCTGGCCTGGGGCCAAAGGGCTCGGAGCATGGGAGGAGGCTCTGGGCTGAGCTTGGGGCAGAGAGTTGGGGTGCAGGTGGGGACTCAGATGCAGGCTCTGGGAAGGAGTTTGGATGCGGGAGGGGGCTCAGGGCTGGGGCAGGGGATTGGGGTGCAGGAGGGGGTGCAGGATCTGGGAGGGTGTTTGGGTGCAGAAGGGGCCTGGGACAGGGGTGCAGGAGGGGGTTCAGGTGCAGGCTCTGGGAAGGAGTTTGGGTGCCGGAGGGGGGTCAGGTCTGGGGCAGGGGGTTCAGGTTCTGGGAGGGAATTTGGGTGTGGGAGAGGGCTCAGGGCTGGGGCGTGGCAGGGGGTTCAGGGTGCAGACTCCGGGAGGGAGTTTGGGTACAGGAGAGGGCTCAGGGCTAGGGAAAGAGGTTGAGGTGCAGGCTCTGGGAGGGAGTTCTGGTACAGGAGGGGACTGGGGCAGGGGTGCAGGCTCTGGCCAGGCAGCACTTACCTCAGGTGGCCCTGCCCCTGCAGCTCCCATTGGCTGCGGTTCCCTGTTCCTGGCCAATGGGAGCTGAGGAGTTGGTGCTCCGGGCGGGGGCAGTGCGCAGAGACACCCCCCTCTTGCCATGCCTCCTCTTAGGAGCTGCTGCGGGCCATGTTGCCACTTCCAGGGACAGCACGGAGCCAAGGCAAGTAGGGAGCCTACTTTAGTCCCACCGCATCGCCAGACTTTTAGTGGCCTAAAATCTCCTGGATTGGCTTCAGTAGCCTCCGGAAGATCGAGACTGGTTCTGGGAGACTCCCGGCCAAGCCAGGAGGGTTGATAACCCTACAGCTGCTACAGCAGTGCCACTGTACTGCCATAGTGTAGACACTTCCTACTTCAACGGAAAGAGCTTTTTCATCGATATAGTTAATCCACCTCTCCAAGAAGCAGTAGCAAGGTCCATGGAAGACTCCTTTCGTCAGCCAAGCCACATCTATACTGGGTGTTAGGTCAATGTAATAGACACCCTGAGAACTAGGGGCTACAAGGTTCAAACTCACGCACTGATCGTCGGAGCCCTGGGCACATGGGACCCCAGTAATGAGGGAATGCTGAGAGAATGTGAAGTTGGTCAACACTATGCTCAGCTGATGCAACAACTCATGGCGTTGGACGCCATCAGGTGGTCAGGGACATCTACACAGAACACATCACTGGACCTCAGCAATACCAAGAGGGATAAGCTGGAGTGCCGATGAGAAGCGCAGTCATAGAATCATAGAATATCAGGGTTGGAAGGGACCTCAGGAGGTCATCTAGTCCAACCCCCTGCTCAAAGCAGGACCTATCCCCAATTTTTGCCCCAGATCCCTAAATGGACCCCTCAAGGATTGAACTCGCAACCCTGGGTTTAGGAGGCCAATGCTCAAACCACTGAGCTATCAGGAAAGTAACTGAAATACTTTCCTGATGGACTGTTTTTTTCTAAACGGACAACCTATCCTAAATTCTCAATTACTGAGGGACAATCTTCACTCATTGATATATTTTGCTTTCCACCACCAATTCTCTGTATAACTTTTTTCATGAGTAACGTACCCGAATACTTGGATGCTAAATATCTAAACTGTATTCTTAAATTCATTCACCTAAATTTGGGTTATTGCTGATTATGCACTATACGTATCTTATGACTTTAAAAACAAACCTTGAATTTGTGGATAATCTAAACACTATACCCAGATGTACAAACACTCTTTTCTCAACCTGTATATTATATAATTTTAACATTAGCTATCATAAAAATTTTAAATATGGCACTGAAGGCATGAAATTTTTCATACCCCCTCAGCGACCTAGTGAGGTCAGTCTGATTTTTAAGTGTAGAGCAGGCCTAAGACACAGAAACAGAGGCAAATCCTGCTCTGAAGCACTTACAGTCCGGAAGGAGGGGATTCCCAGCAGATTGAGGGACGTATTCGACACTGGTGAGGCCTCATCTGGAGTACTGTGTCCAGTTTTGGGCCCCACACTACAAGAAGGATGTGGAAAAATTGGAAAACATCCAGCGGAGGGCAACAAAAATGATTAGGGGACTGCAACACATGACTTATGAGGAGAGGCTGAGGGAACTGGGGATGCTTAGTCTACAGAAGAGAAGAATGAGGGGGGATTTGATAGCTGCTTTCAACTACCTGAAAGGGGGTTCCAAAGAGGATGGATCTAGACTGTTCTCAGTGGTAGCAGATGACAGAACGAGGAGTAATGGTCTCAAGTTGCAGTGGGGGAGGTTTAGGTTGGATATTAGGAAAGACTTTTTCACTAGGAGGGTAGTGAAACACTGGAATGCGTTACCTAGGGAGGTGGTGGAATCCCCTTCCCTATAAGTTTTTAAGGTCAGGCTTGACAAAGTCCTGGCTGGGATGATTTAACTGGGGATTGGTCCTGCTTTGAGCAGGGGGTTGGCGTAGATGACCTCCTGAGGTCCCTTCCAACCCTGATATTCTATGATCGACTCTGGATCGCAAAATCCTCAACCTCTGGCGGAACCAGCCTACCTCCCCTGCTCTGGAAATGACTCAGGGCAGGGGCCAAAGCACAGCCCGAGAGCCCCGCACCCCTCCCCATTTATCATATGTAACCGTCTGCGAAGGCAATTGCTCCGAGGGCGATGACCAGCTCCACCCAAGCAGTGGCAATAAGAGGCCCCAGCCCAGGCAGGGCCAGCTGCAGCTAACGCTCAAAGCTGCCGCCCCCTGGATCGGGGCTGCAAGGGCTCCGGTGGGGCCAGCCCCGGGGGTGTCCGCTGCGTGCCGCTCGCGGCCCCGCAGGCAGCCACCCCGCGCATCAGCCGGGAGCCCCATGGGCCTGTCACCGACTGCCCCCCGCCGCCCCCAACGGAAGGCCCGATGGCCTTTTCCTCACAAACCCGTCTCCTTTTCCCGCTGCGCCGCCCCCCCACGACCGTCTCCCGGCCCCTCAGTGAGCGGCCCGGAGCCGGGCAGCTGCCGGACCCCTTCGGGGAGGCCTGGACTGGGCCAGCCGCCGGGGACACTCACTGCAGCAGGCAGTCGTACAGCCGCAGGGCCGCCTGGTGCCGGTGGGAGCCCATTCCCCGCCCTGCCGGCCTCCCAGGCAGGGAAAGCGAAGCGAACTCCGCGCCTTCCCGCCCCTCCGAGGTCACGGCCCCTGCAGCCGGGACTACACCCAGCACAGCCCGGGCTCAGAAAACACTATGTTAATTTGTTGAGCTCTAGAAATTCGTTGTACGTTATTTTTGTCGCGTTTATCATCATTATTTTATTTTTAAAAAGCCCTTCCCTTCATATTATAATTTTTGTCAGCCCCGCCTCGGAATCCATCCGCCAAAAAATAGTCCCCAGGCTCGGGAGGGATGGGAAGCCTGGGAGGCTGTGGTATGAGAATATCTCCACAACCTCAATCGGACGGTGGATGGGACATTAGAAGACTTGCTTTCGTGCCGGTCCCTGGCAAGTGTGGGAGGGATGGGTTAGGGAAGGGTGCGGTGGAGGGTTACTTATAAGGAGACGGCAGTAAGAAGTCCTTCCTTTTCCGGTTGGGGCCGTGGCGGAGTGAGGTGGGAGAGCCGGAGGCTCCTCTGCCAGCATGGTGAGGCGCGGCCTGTGGGCCTGGGCTGTCGGGTGGCAGGTCGACAGGGGGGTGCCGGGGAATGGGGCGAGTAGTAAGCCAAGGAGCGGGGAACAGGAATCGGTGGGCAGAGCTGGGCCGCCTGCGGGTGGAGAGCACCGGCCGCGGGGCGGACGGCCGCCATCTTGGGAGTCGTCAGCGGTCGGCCTGCCGCGTGGAGCCGGCGTGGGGGAGCGTAGTAGGCCTGGGCGGGAGGGAAGACGTAATCTGGGGGAGCAGGCCGGTGTGCGGTGGGGGAATGGAGACGGGCTTGGCTCCTGCGGAACGGGCCATGGCTGAGACCCCGTAGCTCAGCTCTGGGCCCCGCCTGAGAGTCTCTTTGTAGTGGGGGAAGAGGGGAGCTACAGATGTGGACACCTGGCTTCGGCTTAATCCGCTTCTTGCCTGGTCCTTTCTTAAAGCATGGAAGGGTTGGATATAGGACTGTTGACAATGGACTATGCGGGCCCTGTTCTCTCTCCCCGTCCCAGTTCTTCCCTTCCACCCAGAAAAAATACAGGGTTTGAAAAACGCTTGGGGTGAAATCATGTTACAACTTTCCACGTTGTAGCATGAGGCAAGAACCTGGCTTGAGCAGCCTGTAGTTCCATGTCTGCTGCCAGCCTAGCCCACAGATCTAGCTGATGAAGAGGTCGTAATTGCTGTCATGATGTAGTAGTCAGTGTTGGAAATTAGTGTAATTGACACTTTCATTATTAGGAATTTTTGCAGTATATAGTATGTATCATAGTTGTTAACTAAATGCTCACATGAGCAAAACTAACACTGTGTGGCAATACTAAAGGTTTCTCCTTCCCTTTAGGAGGGAAGGAGAAGCCTTTAGTATTGCCAAACAGTGTTAGTGACTCGAAGGAGAGCTCTCTGTAGCTTGAAACCTTGTTCTTTTTTTCACAACAGAAGTTGGTTGGAATGAAAAATATTTCCTCACTCACAACGTTAATGGCCGATCCACACCATTTTGTTGAGGCCGGGAGTTTGTTTCCAAAATATTGGTCATATATATTTGAGGTCCTTATTAGACACTGGAGGGAAAGCAGTACTGGGCCTGGTTGGTTTTTCAGGTTTCCAAGATAATTTTGTAAGTGAAATAACTTTTAAGTTCCTAGTTACAGCACCAAAGAAGCTCCAAAATGCACTGATTTCATAAATGAACTTCTTTTAATTAAAAGATTACTAATAGATTGTATTAGGTATCTGTAAATAAAATTCAGTATGGATATCGTATTTGTAAAACAGATAGCGAGATTTACATCGTTGCTGAAGCTGAAATGTGTTGATCTCCCAAGTGTGTCTGTGACTACTCGTAGAGTGTTATGAAGGCGTTTGGTATAAATATAAAAGGAAACAGTGATTGCTATGATGATATAATTTGCGTCTTATCCAGTGTTCAGTGACAGTTGCCTGCTGTCATCATGCTGGCGCTGTTGAACTGAAGACATTTGACCCTGAGCAATATTTTTAACACGTTTTTGAATCTGAACCACTTAACGTATCGGTGCTGAAGAAAACTCTTGTCTTTTTCAGGCTTGTACTCGTCCATTAATATCTGTGTACTCCGAAAAGGGGGAGGTATCAGGCAAAAATGTCACCATGCCTGCTGTATTTAAGGCTCCTATTCGCCCTGATATCGTGAACTTTGTTCATACCAATTTGCGCAAGAACAATAGACAACCCTATGCTGTCAGTGAACTTGCAGGTATGATTTGTCTACAGAATTTGAATAGGTTCATTTAGATCAGGATTGTTGTTTTATTACATTAATATATAATACTTGTCAACTTACTGTATACATGCCACTTACATTTGAATTTTAAGTTTAGCTCTAAAACTATCAGGACTTAATTTACATAGTACCGTACAACCAGAAGGACTTAGAGCTGCAGCTACCTCTGGTGTGGAACCAGAAACAAACACTGCAGAAAGTATCTTAGCCAGTTAGAACCACCAGAGGAATTTTTGCTAGGCAAAATCAGTTAACAACCCTGTTATGAGAAGTGCCATAAAACAGTGGTTCTCAAGCTTTCCAGACTTCTGTACCCCTTTCAGGAATCTGAAGCCCAAGCCCCACCGCCCAGGGCTGAGGCATGTAACTTAGCTTTGTGGGGCTCTCTGTGGCATAGGACTCCAGGCAGCTGCCCTGCTTGCCACCCTCTAACACCAGCCCTGCACTTCCAGCCCTCCTTAAATCCATCCCATGCCGCCACCCCCTCCTTCCCCTGGGCTCAGGACTCCCAGGTTGAGAAACCTTGATCTAGATGAATTGATGTATCCCCTATGGGTACACGTACCCTGGTTGAGAACCACTGCCATAGAATACCAGATTGCCATTGATGGTTAGGTCATCATCTCAGTTTTACATTCTATTTAAGAGACAACATACTTGATCATGGCCTGATACAGGGAGGGCTGATGCTACAAGTTTTCCTTCAGAGTTTCCCATCCAAGTACTAAACAGGTATAAACCTACTTGGTGTGAAAATATGTATGTTTGGTATATCCATCTTAAAGTTCAGTGAATTTTGTAATTTACATTCACATTTTGATAGTTTAATAGTATAGTGTCAGTTGTTGTCTCTGTGCAAATTGATGTTGAAGTTTCGAAATCTGTCTTAATTCATTCACTACATAGAAATAAATGATGAGATTCCACTTCA